CAATCACTTACAATCATCCAATGTGAAATCTGACATCTTGAGTGTGTCACAAAGTTCAAGAAAATTTCTTTCGAACTTTGAGCTTGGTCAATGAAATCAATGCAGCTACTCAATTTCACATCCAATGGTCAAGATTAATTGTGACCAACTTGTAGCAAAGGTAAATGGTCTCATTATATACTTCTGTTACTTTCTCTTTCTTAAGCTTATCTATGAAGCAATACAAGAAATTTAGTATTTAATGAACAAATTTTATTGACGTTGTAGGTGGTCTTATCAATATCGAATTAAAATTTTTTTTAAAAAAATGTGAGTGACAAAAAGGCCGTAGTCTTCTTTCGACAATTACCAAAAAAGCACCGGTCTTTCCAAATTAACTATTGGGATCGAATAATTTTTTAATGAAAGGTTTTTTAGTGAGTTTATTGACTCAGGCATCCATGCTAGTTTAAACACATCCTAAATCACTATAAATCTATTTCTATCTACCCATTTTGAGCTCAAAAAATAGCATAGATATGATGATTTTTTAAATTTATATGAACAAACAAGAGAAATAGCTGCAATATGGGCCATTTTAAGGCTTAAAATTCATAAGTTTTTAAGCAATGTTGTGGTGGTCCATATGATAGAACTATGAAGTTTTAGATTCCCATCTATTTCCTGTATGGATTTTTCATAGGAGAACATACTACAAAAATCACATTCTGGGAGACACCCGATTCACCAAATCTCTCCTACTCCAAAAATAGTACGATCCTTCAAAATTACATTTGACTTACAACCCGCCATGATCATCACGGTTTTCAATAGACCGTGACGCGTCCACGCCTCTATGGTTCTAAGATACCGTGAAGGTACCTTGAATTCTAGATTATTGGTTAAGTTAGTTGAAGGTTTGCTTAATTTTGTTATTCTCAATAAAAAAAGGAAGAATAAAAAAACATCTAAAGTTCTATTATTTTGCCCCAAGTTTTTTGTTTTTTGTTTTTTTTTTGAAGTTTTTGGTGCTTGGAGTAGGTTAGTTAGATTTGGACATGGGATAATGGTTGAGACCATGTACCTAACAACTAAGACCATGTCAGCGTGCTTTTTTTTTTTTAACAAAATTCATGGGCGTTTGTTGAATAACTACTGTAGCGGCATGAGATTACAAAGGTGGAATTAGGTAATCAAGAAACATAGGAGAGGAAGAAGTGACGTCAAGCTTAGCTAAGTGATCATTTACATCATTTGACTCTCGATAAACATGGAAAAAAGAAACCTGAAGGCCAGACGAAGAACAAATGTCAATGATCTTTAGCCAATAACATGTAGGAACCAAGGGATTCTTTGCTCTTGTTTGTACCATTTGATGACATTTAGAGTCTCCTTCAACCAAAATAATGCCCTGAATATCTTTATGAACAATGATTTGCAGCTCATGAAGAAGAGAAACCATCTCAGCCTGGTTAGCCGTGGTAAAACCACATGGTCTAGCATAAGAAATAATAGTGGCACCCTCGTGATTTTTAAATAGACCACCTAATCTAGCCTGTCCAGGATTTCCCAATGAACTTCCATCAAAATTTAGTTTGAAAGAGGAGGATGGACCTAAGTCGAGGATAGATGGTGTTTTAAAACATATGAAAAGGCTAGGAAATTTAAGTTGACAAAGATGTTTGCCCTTGAAATTCCTCTCCTATCAAAAGAGTAACAGAGAATTATTTCTACAAGGTCTACAAAATTGTATCTTTAATGGTAGCACTATCCAATGATCTCCCTTCATAAGCACGCCTAATGCGCTCAAACCATACTTGCCAAAAAATTGCACTTCTAAAGATATTCCAAATAACAATTTTTTTCCTTTTGGGGATAAGAGGGGAAAACTGAGGTGGTTAATAACTGATCTTCCTGCATTATGAGATTGAAGCCTAAAGGACTGCATGCCCACTTTCAAATATCATTTCCAAAAGAATAATGCAAGAATTAGGTGGCAGGTTTATTTGTAGGGTTTCTTCATCACTCCTAGACATGAGACACATATTAGGGATGGTTTTTCCTCTCTTTCGAAGATTGTCTACACCAACCCAAAGGAAAGCCTTAATCTTCATAGAAATAGGTCATTTCTAGATAGCATAAAAGTAGTCATTTAACCATCTTATATGATCATGGAAGAGAAGCCTGTAAGCATATTTAACAGAAAAAACACTGTCAAATGGTTTGTTTTTTAAAAAGCACAGTCTAACCTTAGGAATGGGCTCAAGCCTAAGTCGGGTGTTAGTCCCCATAATGTGACATCTTGAATTCCAAGCTTATAACGAGCGGGGGACCCCTTCCATACTGAATTACCCCAAAAAAACATACTCTAACCTTCAAAAGGTGTAATTAGCAGAAGGACTAGGCATGCAAAAACGATAACGCACGCACCTTAGGAATTCATCTGCGATTGTAGTTTTTGTGTCGAAAATTTTTCTGGTCTGAAAAACTATTCCTTCTCTAGATTATGAAATATTGAGTTTAAAAATAATGTAGATATGGTGGATATGTGAATACTTGAAAATAGATCGTCCATATCATGCATATTACATTTTACACTATTTTTAAAACTTTAAATTCATTTATGTTTTAAACCCGATGAAAAAATTGAAATTTTTTTGAGACAAGTCGATCTTTTTCGGGTTGATTTTACCTTTTTCAATTGGGCTCATGCCTTATATGACAGTTTCTCTTTCATAACGCAAACCGTGTGTTAATAGATTCCATGGGGTTAAAAGGGTTACCACAAAAAGCCCTGTTCCAACAATAGCTCGAAATGTAAATATTTTGGACAATTTTAATTAAAAAAAAAGTGACATTTGGGTACATGTCCATGGACACGCTTACTAGGGTAATTTGGTCTTTTCAAAGCTAAAATTTATTTTGACAGAGGTATATAGGTTGAAAATTGCCAATATTTAATCTCATCATTTTTGTGAGTAAAGAGGAATAAACTAAAAGTTGAAATTTTAAAAAAATTACGAAAAGATCATTTACTTTTAGTACAAGGATGAAATAATCAAGTTTGGTGATCAGATTTTAAATTAAGTACTTGTAAGCGTGCTATTGACTCTACCAAATTTTTCAAAAAATTTATCAAAATTCACTACACATATCAAACCATCCAATTTAACATCTGATAACTAGGAATAGTTGTGACATGACCGCTTTGTAATAACGATAAATCATTTCATAATATATAAAGAAAATTGTTTCATGCGAGCTGGACCGCATTTCTACAATATGCAGTCCAAAGGTATAAAATATCCATCTCAAAGATGGATGCAAATAGGTGGTTTATTTAAAAACAAGTGTAACTACTTGTCCAAATGTTTTCTTAATATAATTATTATTTCTAATTTTCAATATATATATTTTTTATATTCATGATCTCTATATTAAAGATTATATATTCTAAAATCAAATTATATTTAGAAAATATATGTACTCCCAAGCCCGCATTTCTACAATAAGGCTGGCCGCATAAAAACCGTGTCCAATGTACAATCACTGGATTTTAAAACCACATTTGCTAAAAACATGAGGGGTATTATAGTAATTTATCAAGGTTGAACATTACGATATTTCGTCTCATACCGAAGGGCATTCTCGGAACTACTAATTTATTTTATTCGCTAGGCGGTACCCGTCAAACGTGCCTTTTGATTTTGGGCTTTGGCAGTTCTCTTCTCTTCTGTGCCGCGTTTTTTTTTATAAATGCCGATTTAAATCGGCCGTCTGTGGAATTCCTCGGCATTTCTTGATTCGTGTCTGTGAAGGAACGATACATTCTGCCGCGGAATTGGCGATTTCATCGGCTCCTGCTTCAGTTCAGGTCGGCAATCTCAATGTTAGGTTTTCCGGTGAGAAATTGTGTGTGCTTTTTTCCAAACAATGGCTGATTGCCCAACTTCCCCTTGGTTTTGTATTCTTTTTATCATTTATTTTCGTGTTTCGAGCTTTAAAGATTCAGTAGTGACCGAAATGCTGTTCCAAGAAAATTTGTTCTTCTTATCTCATTTTTTTATGAGTGTTTGAATCCGTTTTTCACTGGTCAATGCTTCACTCTCCGTTTTTTCCCAGAAAATCCGTAATTTTTCTAGAAGTTATTGTGTTTCTGCATTTTATCTGCAATTTTTCAGTGAGATTTGTATTAACGATTCTTCTTTTCTTAATTTTTTAAAATTTCCCAAAGAATTCTGGTTGTTTGCCGTTCCATATCTGTTGATCGAAGTTCAGTTTAACAGTTTCATAGTTTTTTATTTTTCTTGTTATTTCCAAAATATATGTTTTTATTATGGTGTGCATGTTGATGCATTATTTGGAATAATCATCTTCCTTATTTCTTTGTTCCCCCCCCCAAATTTTGTAAATAAAATTGAGTTTATGCTCTATTTTGATTCCTTTCGGAATGAGAAATGAACGTGTTATTTGTGTTGACTGTCGATAACCCTTCCCTTTTATCTTTGTTCGATGAGAAGTCTCTGTTATTTTTCCAAATAAGTGTTGTCCCTTATCTTGTTCTTCATAATTTTGTAGTTGTTTTTGTTTTCCGTGAGAGGTAACTTCTTATATCCGAATATATAGGCAATGGTGTGAGATTCTTAGGGTTCCTGTTTTATGAGGGTTCGCTTATATTTTAAGTATTAATTTTTTTTTTTTTTTTCATTCGTAAAAAAGTCTCAATGTCACAGCAAAGACAGTGATGCTTTACTTTAACCTTTTTTTTTTTCCTTTTTTCTTTTTCCCTCCTCGTTGAAATAAGCCCTTCTTCTATTTCGTGATGACTTTTATTTGCTTTCTTTCTCTTCCTTTTTTTATTTTTTAACCTGTTCTTTACTCTCTCTCTCTCTCTCACACACACACACACACACCGACCTTTAGTGTGAGGACTTCTAAAGCATGGTTACAACTTTGTTATTTTGTACTCTTCTGAATGAGTAGGTATTTTCCTTTGCCTTTCCTTTCTTTAATGCTCTCTCTCTCTCTCTCTCTCTCCCCCCCACATGCGCATGTGTGTGCGTGCATTTTAGCATGACAATCTGATGCATGTGGTTTATAACGTGTAGCATTTCATGGATTGTTTGTTTTTTTTCCACTGATTACTAATTAACTGTTTGTTGTTTCCTGTGATTTTCATATTTCTTTGCGGTGATTTCTTCCCCCCCCTTAAAAAGTGATGCTCTTCTATTTTTCCCAAATGTGGTTTGATTTTTTAATTCTATTCTATTTGCATTATATTTTGTTGTATATAATGCATTAATTGGATGGACTTTTTCAGATGCTCTCAGCTTTATTTGGCAAACCTTTTAGTTTAAAGGAATTACTTGAGATGAACATTATTCAAAACTAGTATTATTTCGTGTATTATATGATAAATAGTGTTTCATTTTGTTTTAGTCTTTTTCTTCCACCTCGCATGATGGAGTTCTTATGCATTTTCTGATATATTCTTTTCCTATCCCTCTCTGATTCTTGTGCTAAATTGGGGTTTTGATGTGGTTGAAGCTTTGGAGCTTGTTGATCTGCATTCTTCCTTATTCTGTGGTATTATATATTTTCTGTTCCTCTTTTCTATTAGGCCTTTCGTTTCTATTCTTCTTTCTCTTTTGACATTACGCATGATTTCTGCTTTTGGTGGGCTCCTGTACTTATGGAAGTGGCTTGAGATGCTTTTAATTGAATCTTTCGGTGTTTCTAAATGCTTTACGAGTCTTCTCCTTTTGGTTTTGTAGTTTATTACTTTGGCAAATTAAGGAAGTATTTCTGGATTCAACATGCAAAAATGCAAAGTACGGTTAACATTTTTGTGTTTATGAAATAACTTTTATTTATTTTCTCAGTTCCATTTGAAGTTGTACATCATTATCATTTTTTTGTTGTTTCTTCTTAGTCTTCTTCTTTGTGCATGCTTTCCTTTAATTTATTCTTTTTAAATACAGAAATGCAAATGTGTAAACCATGTAGATCACTATGTGTATGCTGTCTTTTTGATGTTTCCAATTTACTCTTTATTTATGCTTTTTAATTGGGACTTTATTTGAGCTTCTATTTGGGTTCTGGTGTTCTTTTCTTCCATTATATATGTCCTCAGGACTTTTCAAGTTTATTAGCATCTTTTAATAAGAAATAAGCTATGGAATGGCAATTCTAACCAGTTATTCTGAAGTGATTGGTATTTCTCAAAACAATTCTGTTCTCTGTTATTTTTGAGCTTATTTTACATGTTTTGCTTCATCCTTTTGTCTCTTGCCACTTTCTTGTTGATTTCTTCCTGTTTTTCTTCCCGCTATCTAAATATTCTCTGGAATTCAACTCCTGCTACGAAGCTGTTTTGTAATTATGATATCAAATAATTTTGCTATTACCCACTTAATAATATCTGTCCTTTAAAAGCTTGGATATGTTCTATTACTGCTGTTCATAATCCCCCTTTATCATTTATCGTGATCAGTAGTTTGTTAAATCTTATGTGAAATTACTCTCACTGTATATATTTTTGTTTTAGTGTTTTGGTCAGAACTCGTCTATATCTTGTTTATAACCTGTTGCATTTTTACGAAATTTGGGATGGTGTTTTTCTGTTACTGTCTCCTAATGTCCTTCACATTTGAAGGAGCATATCATAAGCATATGCCTACAGTAAAGCTAATATTGGTAAGTAGCCCTTAATGAAAGCTGCTCTTGGAACAATATGTCCAACTGGCTCTAGTTCTTGACACTTGGTGTCGATGTGCCTTATTATTTGGTTTGATTATTGGCCTTCTTCCTATTTGGATGAAATTCTAATAACTAATCCGCATTATTTTTTGAATGAATTTCTAATTACGAATCCACATTATTTTGGCAAATTTAACTGAAGGTTATGCAAGTTTGGAGGAAAATTAAAAGGTGATAATAGTTTTTCTAATATGAAGTTTGGGATAAAATTGAACCCAAAACCCAGCTAAGTTCTGCCCATAATTTTCGAGAATTGTGGCCATATCTTTGGACATATTCCCATCCATTTTCCCTTAATACTTAAAGTGTGGAAAACTTTGGAATTGGTTCATATTAAAAAGTTTTTCCTAATGTTCCAAAATGAAACATGAAGGTAGACTTTTAATGGTATTATATCGTGTCCCCTTACTTTTCTAGTCCTTTTGTGTGACTAATTCATCTCTGTGTAGTTATATAGAGGTCTTGAGACTAACTCGTCTCTAATCATAACTAGCTTTTTATTGTTCCAGGTTTTCTCAGTCTCTCTTAAGTAAAAGGAGGTTATCCATCTCTAACTCTTGGAATGCACCTTTGGTGCTAGCAGCTTTGCAAAGATTTACACGGCCTAGGTCCTATATTACAGCATCAGTTATGGCAAGTGAAGCACCAAGGAATATGCAGAATGGTAGTATGCCTGATCCCCTAAGGACCTACCAAGTAGTTGTGGCTGCAACTGCTGATATGGGCATTGGGAAGGATGGGAAATTGCCATGGAAATTGCCTTCTGATATGAAGTTTTTCAAGGATATCACCATGGTTACTTCAGTTCCTCTAAAGAAAAATGCAGTTATAATGGGTCGGAGAACATGGGAGAGCATTCCACTTGAGCAACGGCCTCTGCCTGGTCGCTTGAACGTTGTTTTGACACGCTCGGGAAGTTTTGATATTGCAACAGCTGAGAATGTTGTTATGTGTGGAAGTATGGGATCAGCTCTTGAGTTATTAGCAGCACCCCCTTATTCTTTGTCAATAGAAACTGTTTTTGTCATTGGGGGTGGTCAGATTTTAAGGTACACGTTATACGCTGTTGTGCGCTTACAAGAAATGTTCTATTCCTTTTCGGTCAGGCAAATTTCTGAATATGTTCTTTTTGTTTATTGATAAGCTGTCTAAGCTTTTAAGTTTAGTTTTTGTTTGGAAATTGGCTGATTTTGACCAATAAGAGAGAGAAGAAAAGCTAAGTATGAATGGATTTGTTTGCAGGGAAGCAATGAATGCACCAGGATGTGATGCTATCCATATCACTAATATAGAAACGAATATTGAGTGTGCCACTTTCATTCCTCAAATTGATCTCTCCGTTTTTCACCCATGGTATTCATCATTTCCGTCAGTAGAGAACAACATTAGGTATTCTTTCTCCACATATGTTCGTGTGAGAAGCTCCCCTGCAGTGGATTCCCATGCCAAGGCTGATGGGGAAGTGCTTTGCAACCCAGATACTGACAAATTTGAGGTTCAGAAGTTTTCTTTTCTTCCTAAAATCATTTTTGAGAGACATGAAGAGTACAATTACTTACGGTTGGTCCAAGATATCATATCTAATGGTGCTCAGAAAGATGACAGAACTGGAACTGGAACACTTTCGAAATTCGGTTGTCAGGTTTTGTTATTTACCCATCTCTGACTCTTTACTTCTAAATGTGGTTAATTTATCTTTTGATGTCTGAGTTTTCATTTTTGTAGGATATTGGAAGTGAAAAAACTTTTCTAACATCCTTGGGCCCCTGCTTTTTTTTCCACAGATGCGATTTAATCTACGCAAATCTTTTCCGCTTCTTACGACAAAGGTATGGATTTTTTAATTGTCAGTTCAGGACATATCCAAGGTTGTTTTCTAGTGAAGTTATTCCTTTTGCTTATGTAGTCCTTCCAGTGAAATTTTTATTCTAACAACAAAATATTACAATGAATTTGCATGCAATCTTGCATATAAGCATTTGATTAAACATATTGAGGCAAACCCGTAAATCAGGGCATATGATAAGCAGATAAAGTTTGAAGCATTGAGAACTGAAACCCATTTCCTTCACCATGACATGCTATCTTCTAAGAAATTTTGCTTTGGGCCTTCTATTTTCTTTCTTGGTTTATTTCCTTACTGTTTGATACATACAGAAAGTATTTTGGAGAGGAGTTGTTGAAGAACTATTGTGGTTCATCAGCGGTTCAACGAACGCTAAGGTAACTCCCTCTTCTTAAATATAGTGCAGCGATATGGGTTTCTATTGAGAAAGTAAGTTTATCATTTCTATACTGTGGTTTGTCACTAGGTTAGAATATTCCAGATTGTGGCTTGTCAATGTTAGTTATTAGGTTTTCTACCATATTTGAGAAAATTTGTCCTAGTGGCTTTACTAAGAACTTGAACTTTGAGGCCACCTTTCCGTGGAGTGAAAAGGGTATAGCTTAAATGGGGATGTTTAACAGAAAATTTAGAGTGGGAGTGTTAAATTGCAGAAGAATTACTAGAAATTTGTCCCTTTTAGAGGCAGTAGCATGATTGCTGTTGGAAAATCTAGATTTGAAGAGTTGAGCTTGTATTTGGAGCTGACTGCTTTTCCAAAGTTGGGTTCTAGTTCACAATCTTTCAGCAAAAGCTGATGTTTGCCCAAGAAGATTGCTTTTGGAGGGTGTGTACATTCTCTATCAGAAGTGGCACATGGTGCTGCCCTTTTCTTCAAGCAGTATTTAACTGGAAGATATTAAACTGCAATGAGTGATGCCAAGCATAATTTAGGTGCTTTACAGATGCTTTCGAGATTTTGAAGTTTGATCACTTAGAGTTACTTGTATTCACATTTTGACTGCTTTAAGTGGCTGAGTTGATGGGAGTGTTTACAATCAGTATTCATATTGCTTTCATGACTCCTCGTTGTGCCTAGACCTAAATTGAAGTCCATTAACCCCATTACTTCCCAATGTCACTATCACTACTCTTTCTGTTGTGGCTTAGTCATAGTGTATGTTTGACAGCGCATAGTGGTTGTTTCTTGCTCGAAGCATTAGCTTGTGTTGATCGTTGAGATGCACTTGGCTATATTATGGTCCGTATTCTTCTCCTGTCAGCAACTGTGGTTGGGCGTGCTAGGAATCATCATTGTCATTAGAGTCTTTTCCGAACTATTTGGGGTCGGCTAGGAATCACTTCTCAGAAACATTTAAACCCATCCTTTATTATAGCGCACCAGGCACCTAACTTATAGGTGTTGCCTTACCTCTTTTGATTATGAATTCAAGACTAGATAGAAAACAAAAGAAAGAAAAAGAATTGCTCAAGAAAGACTTGCTTCCACATTCACAAAACAATGTGCAAAGAAAGACAAAATAAGAGCCTCATATGTTGGGATATGTGGGACCAATCGGTGGTTGCTCTATTTGTACACTCTCGACAAGTATTTTGGGAATTTGGATTTGGGATTGTATACAATAAGACTATTTGTCCATGATACAAGGTCACATTCACTTCCAACCTTTGGAGGTTGAATCCGATAGTTTGGGGTGTGCCACGAGGATCGAGAGATTTTCTTTTGGACTTTGAGCTTAGTCAATGACACACCCTCAGCCACTTGATTTTACATCTTACCACGAGAGGTGGTAGTGACCTCCATGTACCAAAAATAAATGATCTTATCATACTTTCCCTTTGGATTTTGGCTTATAATATAATTGGAAAGTCTATTGCGGGAAGAGGATTTAAGTTTCGAATTCCTTTTTGAATTCTTTCGAGAATAATACTAACAAATTTGATTTTCAAATCTGATCACCTTGTTCATTTTCTTTTTCAACACACTCTTAAATCTCTTGGATTCTTGTTCCAAGAAGATTTTCTACTAGATTTGCTTTAGCAAACTTGTAACTTTAAGAGCATCCATAACGAACTTGGTTTTCAAATTTAATCAGCTTGTTCGTTTTTTGTTTTTTTGTTTTGAATGCTAGCTTGTGACCTCAATAGGAATGGAATTTGAGATGTTATGTTGTGACATCTTAATAACCAAGACTTACAAGCGACGAAAATATGCCAAGGGGCATGTGCTGCTAAGCGCAAAAGCTTCAAAAACCCTGAATGTTGATATTTGGCAAAGTAAAGAGCGAGAAAAAAAGAACTGGCCATGATCAAGAGGCAAGCAAGAAAGCAAAACACGAAAGAAATAATGCAAAGAAGAACACCAAGATTTTACATGGTTTGTTATAGATGTGATACATTCAAAGGCGAAGACAATCAACGGTTTTTCACTTATCAATAGAAAGAAAAGAGTACAAGAAAGCTCTTACCCGAGATAACCAGAGACAAAGTGAACCTCTCAATTAGCCTCTCTACACTTTCTCTTTCTACATCTAAGGTGTCTCTCTCTATACATAACCCAATGATTTTGTACACATTCTTAATCCTTTCTATCTCTACATTCCCATTTGTGGAGAAAAAATGGATACGTAAAAAGATATCCCATGAAGCTCCTTATCTCTTTATGATAAGGACAACCACAATCCATCACTATCTCCTATGTTCTGGTAAAGTCAAATATGGTAAGATAATAATTCCCTGAAGGATATGATTCTGATACTCTCACAGAAATAGTACAATATTTCCTAAAACCTAGTACTTGCTCCTTACAAAAATTAGGAACTGAAACCAATTTCAAAAGTAGGAAACTTACAGGATATCCCACATGGATTGCATATGATTAAAGACATTCCCAACCAATTTCACCTGGCTTGAATTTTAAAAGAAATTCCCATTGACTGTCTCCTCCTTACTCGCATCCACAGGCGCTCACCCTGGCAATACATTAATCATGTCCAAGAGCGGCTTGAAATTTTGTAATGGAAGTGGCTTTGTCAGCATTATCCTCAACATTCTTCTTGGTGTCAATCGTCAATTACAAGTTATCAACCTTAGCTATTATCTCATGGATAATATGGAATTTGACATCAATATGCTTTGTCCTTGCATCTTTTTTGGTATCTGTACTCCGAGATAATATTGCTGACAATTTATAAAGTCCGATTGGTGGGGCGGATCATCCACCCCCAATCCTGATCTAGATCGGCTGGATCAGCCATCTGGATCGTCTCGATCGATCATCTTGAGAAAAACAAAAGAATTAATAAAATAAAATAAAAAATAAAATAAAGGTTGATGAGGTGGGGATTTAGGGGGGACCAAGGACACATTAGATTAGATCAAAGAGAAAAGAAAATAAAATAAAAAGGGGGTTAAAGGGGAACTGGGTGATAACCCAAACCATTTCGGAACCAGTTTAGTCGATCTATTTTGCATCCAGATCGGTGGCTTGGATCGGAATTATCTGGGTTTTAAAATACTAAAACAAATTATAGAGATCCTCCTTTTGAGACAACTGATGTAGAGTCCCGTATATTTAAACAAACATACTCAAGAATGTCTTTTATTGTATGTACTGACGTGCGCCCTACATTGTTGCCATAGACATAGGGCTCGTAGAATTCTAAATTGCACGTTTTCATGCCATTGTGACTTGAAGTTTACTCAATTATCCTAAACATGTGGCTTTGATGCATATGCCACAACTGAGTCAAGTCGAATTCGCCACCATCAGATTTGGAAACTGCTACTCTATCTATGACGATAGTCCTAAGCAACACATACAATCTTGGTACTTTTGAATTTTCAGGACTCAACATTCTCCAATAAATTTGCAGCCATTAGAGTCTACGGCACCTCAAAAGATAACAATATTTTTTAGATCTGAAATGTGTCTCATATCAGTCAAGGTTCTCACAACTCCATACATCTTAATATGACCTGTTGTTGTACCGACGATCAAGCCGCGTCGTTCCCCATCAAAATTGAGCCGTCATTTGAGCTCTTGTATATGGTGAACCATTCTCCATGAGGGCACATATGATAGAAACATCCCAAATCAAGAATCCATGAATTCGTAGAGTAATCACAACTCGTCGAGATTGACAATACGTTATATGTTCCATGTTCCAAGCATCCATTAGCAATTGTAGCTGCATTAGAGGCTATATTTTCCTTTTCTTTGTGATTTTGACAATTCTTCTGGACATGTCCATTTTCTTACAATATTAACATCGAACTTTACCTTCCCTTGATTATCTGGATTTGCCCTACCTTTCATGTCTCTTTTCATTTATGTCAACTGGCATTCAAAAGATGAAAGTCACGTCTTCCATATATGCTATTTTTTCCATAAAGCAATCTCATGATAACATGCTCATACGAATGAGGGAGTAAGGAAAGCAAAATCATATCTTTATACTCGTCTTCCATATGAATTTTGATGCTCAATTATTGACAAATTATTTTGTCAGATTTAGATTCTCATGGATATCCGTACCTCCATGCATTCTCAAGGTGTATAGCTATTACTTCAACTACAATCGATTTGCGAGGGACTTCGTCATATATAGACTCTTTAAGTTTCGATCAAAGGCATACTGCTGAGTCCTCATTGATGTCGTTATACATCACTTCTCTTGGGGTATGACCTTTATTATAGCATAATGGTGGACCAGGATTCGTGCAACTGACCCCTATTAGTTGGGAAAAGGCTTTGACGATGATGATGATTATGATACAACACTTTACTTGATAGGCACAATCTAATAGTGCTCCTTGCCCTTATATTTAAGCGTTCCCATACCTCATCCAACATTGACTCCGATTTCTTTGTTTTTCCTTTCAAAACTTTGTGTAGTCGTTGTTGCACTAGCAAGTCCTGAACATTGATATGCCTAATTCAGACGAAGTTTCTGCCATCACAACAACCCCAAACTCTAATACCACTCCTTGTGCACGAAAGCTTCTATAACTTGACAATTGATTTTTGACAAAGTAAAGAGTGAGAAGAGCACAACTGGCCACAAGCAAGCAACAAACAAGAAAGCAAAGTAAGAAAGAACTATTTCAAAGAACAACACCAAGATTTTATGAAGTTCATCATAGATGTGACTACATCCATATACTAAGACGCCCGATGGTTTTTCACTAATCAATAGAAAGAACAGAGTGCAACAAAGCTCTTAATTGAGAGAACCAGAGACACAATCACACAAACTCAATCTCTCAATTAGCCTCTTTGCAATTTCTCTCTACATGTTTCTCTTTCTACACACAACCAAAGGACCCTCTGCCGACCCTTAACCCTTTCTCTCTTTACATGCCTATTTACAGCGAAAAGAAGGAAACTTAGAAGGATAATCACGCGAGGCCTTCCTTTTCTCTTTTTGATAAGGATAATCACTATCCATCACTACCTTACTTTTTGACATGTCAAATATAATGATATAATAATTAACCGTTAATGAGATAATTCCCTAAAGGTTAGGATTCCCATACCCACAAAAATAGGAAACTATTTTCTAAACCTTGGATTTTCGCTTTACAAAAACTAGGAACCTAAACCAATCCCAACGCTTGCCACCATGGCAATTTTCATATAACGCAAAACATATCCCAATGTGTGCCACCATGGCCATTTTCATAGCATTTCCTAGTCCAATTGGAACGATAACTATGTGCCATATTGGACACCATGGCTAATGGGTCCTTGTGGCATCTCTTTGCCATCATGTGGCCATATGTGTGCCACAAACATGGCCAATACCACATGTAACCACCCAAAAATCCCATTAAAATATGCCCTTACTAAATAATATTTCTATTCCAAAACAGACCCTCTTTAGAAGAAAACATATATTTTCATAAATGCTTTTGATTCTTTGAACAATTGCAAAACACACATTTAAGGTGAATATTTTTAGCATGCCATGAGATAATCTTATAGCTAGGCACTCAGTAGCTAATCCTATAATTACAATCTAAATCTTAAACTAACCCAACAGACCCATGACCAATATGCCTCTGTTAAAAGGGCTTATGATTGGCCCATCAAATCAGCTAAGGTGCTGATGAACCATAATTGTCGTGGATTGTAGGTGTTCCCCCAAGGACAAGTCATGTTTATCCTGGATATCATGTACATTCCAGACACATGCACCATTCAGTGTAGGGGCTCCTCTCTCAACATGTGCACATGGACCTATCTTGGTCTCCCGCAGTTCCTGGTCAGCATGCATGAGGGATGATGTGTTGAGGATTTGGGCACTTGGTGTCACAAGCCTCCATCCTTCTCACGTGAGACCTATCCGAGATCCTCTTGGCTCTATTAATGATCACCACTGGGATAAAACTGACCTTGAAAGGGTACTTGTAAACTGTTGATGATTCATCAAGGTGCTAGTCCTCAAGCCCAGGCTGCCAGTTTCCGACTTGATCTTGCCAAGGCCTAGACTGCAATCGAAGGTGATAGTCGTAGAGCCCGCTCTTAAGTCCCATAGAGCCCATTCATTGATGGAACTCATGCATGCTGCTCTATGTCCCATAGAGGCACTCATAAAGCCCGCTCCACAGAGCCTGATCACAGAGCTCAAACTTCCCACTTAATCTAGAGCATCCTGTACTATAAAAGCATTAGTGAACAATTTCATGGGGTATGTACAAGAGCCACGGTCTAAGGCCTTTGGAGGCCAAATATCCCATCGTCCCCCACCCAGGCTTATCTCAATACACTTGCATTGGCCAAAGATTGGCAAAAGCATAGGCCTTCCGAGAAACATCACTGACATGAACTGCCCGAGACACTCTTAAGTCATCAGATAACCTTGCTAGCTAGCTAGCCTTCAATCAGTTGGAATCAGTAGCCGTAAATTAAATCCAGGCGGTATATTTGATTAATCAAAGGGAACAAAAGAGTTTATATAGAGCATATCAAGGGGCATGCCCATCTTTATGCCACTAGTCTAAATTTTCAGTCTCTCGCAACTATACGAGGATAACTATATCCTTTATTCAAGGGTACATATTTTTACAAGACCCTTGTCAAATATGGCATACCTCACTTTGTATTTCAGTTATCCTTTAATCGTTATGGATTATCCCACGGAATTTTGTTGTCTAATTTCCTGATTACATTTGTCAAACTGAAACTTGAGTATTCCCTTCAGTAGTGCTATGCTGCATGAATCTTTGGTGTAACATTTGAGTACATCTGCGTGTCATACATGCTTCCACCCTAAGCCTCTGTTGTAAACGTCGATATGTCCCTTTTGCTCTCTTTCTCCCCTATAATCTTTGTCAGTCCTCCTAAAATGGTGATTCTTCATTTCCTTCCAAATGTCAGGAATAACAGCCTTAGTACAGGCTCACAAGAGCTAAGATCCTCTTAGTTTTTGTTGTGTGTCCTCCCTTCTTGTTCAATCACGAAGTGAACTAGTAGCTACTATGGTTCGGAGAAAACTTATAATGGCAGTTACTGCAATCCTCTTAGGTTTGTCAATTGTAATCCAATTTTTGTCAATCATGAAGTGAACTTGATGCAACCATGGTTTGAGAAAACATACAGTGACAGTTACGACAGTCAATATAGTGACAGCACCCTTTGGCCTTTAGAGCAAAATAACATTGCTACCACAAAAACCTTTCTTTATTGGGTTTTAAAGCCAGCCATTATGTGTGTTGAAATGTCCATCTCAAGCTAACACCATACACCCTGGCCAAAATAATGGGGTAATGTTCTCTTTTGGATCTTGGGCACAATCTAATTGAAGTGTGGGAAGTTTCAGTTGCTTCTCTATTTTTTGTGCGTCATTGTGATGAGCAATACATTATATTGCTGCAGATGATTGTCAATGAGGAATATGCCATTAACAGTGAACCTAGAGAAAGCGATTACTTTCAAAGGGGCTTCTGTTCCTTTAATATGAGCCACAGTAAATTCTCTCTCTTTTCTTAGCATTATACTTTATGTTCATCTCACAGAAAATTACTGAATACTGCACAGCGAAAGAACTTCCTCCTCTTTGCCACTCTCCTATCACACTGATTCTGTATTACCAGTATCATATTTAAGGTCTTATCTTTATCCCTCCATGAGGTTTCCAATCCAACAAATGCTAAAACACTTTATGCTCCATCTCACTAGCTCCTGTATGTATCAATTCACTGTTCAACCTTTTATCATGAGTTTCCTAGACTCATTTGGTTCATTTTTCTTACAATGAGCTTAGAGTTTAGTAAGGACATGTGAGGTTTTCTTTGCACATGTCAGAACATTTGCGCCATGACAATGTGGAGTGAGTCGTTCCACCAAGCTTATCACTCATGACCTGATCCCTGGCAACAAAATCAAGAGCTGTCTTTTGCTATTGTTTAGTCTTTGAATGTGAGAATCCTGCAAGCAAACCTAGACCCTTTTGATGATCAATTTCTTTTTTTTTCTTATGGTTATACACTTTTCTTTACCCCAACTCAGCTTATTGACTACTTTCTCCTTGAACTTTTCTAGTCATGAGTTAGAGTTATTAGTTGGGGACTATGGATTTTGGGACAGGAGTTACATGCCCTAAATACATGAGTCATTAGGATTTACATGCCATAATTCATCTGAACTAGCTACCTTGGTTGGGAAATTGGGAAATTGTGTACTATTGATGGCCGGTAATGCAGCCGTCTATCTAGTCAACCTCTGAGCAGAAATCTACATGATGGTGGACTGAATGAAATTTTCATTTGCTTCTTTCTCTCAAAACAATTTCTCACATGAAACCTCTTTCATGCCTAGAGGGACCAATGAAACTGGAGGGAAAATGAAGAGGAGTTGGCAAGAAAGGCAGCATGTTGGTCGTCATGTGTTACTACATACGTAGGAAATTTGATATAATGACTGAGTTCTGATTAAATCTTAAACAGATATATCTACATGTCTCGTGCTTTATCTAATTACGGTGGTTTCTGCTTGTAGGTTTTGCAAGAGAAAGGTATACATATCTGGGATGGCAATGCATCTAGAGACTACCTGGACAGGTATTTAGTCTCATCTGCCATGGTAATGAAACACATCACATGTTGTACAAAGAAACCATGAGATACTATGCGTTTTATGGGAAATCTTTAAACTTCTGAAATTTGTTCACAACTTGAAGAGGTGTATGAGTCTTTTGGTTATGTTTTGACAATAATAGCTTTGGGAATTTGGTGCTTGTTACAAATATGTTAAATTGGGAACAGTCAATTGAATTGGGATCTTTTTTATTTTGAACTATGAAACTTATCTAGCAAGTCTTTGTAATTGAAAGGGATTTTTGGGCATTGGCTGATTGGTTAGGTGTCGATGATTGCGACCCTACATCCAAGGTTTCAAATCCCATGCTAACCACCCTGCTGCCCCTCCTCACGCCTCTTAAGCCCCACCCAAATAAAAAAAAAGACTAGAAAACAGATAAGGAAGTCCATAACTGTAAGTTAATATATGTACTCACTGATCTTCCCATTTCTATGCGCATCCAAGTACTTGTACACATGCATGTTGGTATTCAGATCTGGCAACATTAATCAGTGAACCTTGTCAATTAATGCAGATATACCTACCTGACAGCGGAGGTCTCTCATGTCATTTGTTGAATTTCTGTACCATGTTAGTCACATATCTTGTTAGTCACATATCTTGTTTTGAAGCTTGTGTTTGTTTGTAGGGTTTGGTCTATGTTCTAGTTGTTAGATATGGCTCAAAAACTCTGAACCTGTAAAGCGTCTTCCCTGTTGGTTCCATTTATGCTACAATATTTAATTAAACTTTGAAAAATTGGTTCTACATTTATTTATTTATGGGGTTGTATACAAAGAGACCATTTACCTTTGGCACAAAAAGGTCACAATTACTTCTAAAACCATTTGGCATGAAATTTGATAGCTTGGGTGTGTCACAAAATTTGATAAAATTTCTTTTGAACTTTGGGCTTGATTGAGAGGGGAACCCCTCTACTCCCTTTTGCTTATCCACTGCAGCATGGTCACAGCCTAGTGGACTAGTTTACTCCAGCTATTCAACTATAACTGGATTACTCCAAGCTCGGTTCCTCACCTCTTCTCCTAGACCTTTTCTGGCCCGTGGATGCAATCTGGTATTCCTCTTTTGCATGCATCAATAGTGGTGACCTTGTGGATCATCTGTATAGAGCACCACAATAGGACTTTTCGTGGGGAGATGCTCTCCATTGATGCCTTAAAAACCAGGGTGAACGAATCCGTTATCTTTTGGGCCCAAAACCACCCGACTTTCAAACATTTTTTCGGACTCAGATTTTGTTTTAAACTGGGAGGTCATGCTACGACTCAGACCCTCTCGGATCCCTCGTTCTTCTTTCGGGCAACCCCCCCTTTTGGCCTGATTAAATTGAATTTCGACAGTTGCTCGCTTGGCAACCCTGGGTGAGCAGCTATCGGAGGCATCATCCGTAACCTTGAGGGCCTTACTCTCCTGTCCTTCTTCAGGGCCATAGGGGAAGCGGATTCCACCACAGCCGAGATACTGGCCCTCCTAGAGGGAAGCATGGTGTATGGAAGCATAAAATATGGTGGACATCTTTTTACACATAATATATGACTTCATGTGCAATAGAACATGCTCGTACATGTGTATTTACATAAATGCATACACACACACACACACACACACCCATATGTTAATGCTGGTAGATTGCAACACGTAGTACATTTGGTGGATTTGATTTACATTTATTTTTTCATACCTTCATTTCTGATGTCGCCATGCTTCTGATTGCAGTATTGGTTTAACTGAAAGGGAGGAGGGTGATTTGGGACCCATATATGGATTCCAGTGGAGACACTTTGGTGCCAGGTCGGTGAATAATGAGAGGCAAATGGATACTTTAACCTCTTTATTGATAAATTCAACAAAATAATTAGGACTCATGAACTTGTTGATTGAAAGCTTCGCTGGTTTGCATATATACTTGTACAGGTACACTGATATGCATGCAGACTACACTGGGAAAGGGTTTGATCAATTATTGGATGTAATTGACAAGATAAAGAACAAGCCTGATGATAGACGCATCATTCTTTCTGCATGGAACCCTTCTGATCTTAAACTGATGGCCCTCCCTCCCTGTCACATGTTTGCACAGGTTAGCACCTTTACAAATTGGGGAAAGCTTTCTATGTTCCCCTACAATATAGAAGTTCTATCCTCCCCATACCATCCAGCCGTCCATTTTTTATCAAGAGAGCCACTCACCGTTTGATCTTAGATCCAACGTCTCAAAGTATTTTATTTTTAGTTTTTTTAATACAAAATTTCTGAATATGAAATTTGGTATGTACCTTCTTCTCATTGGGGCGCACCTATAAAAAACATTAACAATAATTTTTCGATAAAATATGATGACCAAAATACTGCTTGAAACTTTCAGGCGTATTTTGTTCATTTTATTTTATTGAAATTTTTTTTTTTTAATATTTTTTGTTAGTGCGAGTTAATAGAGCATTGGATGTTCAAAATTTGGTGTCAAAACAGTTTATAAAAAAAATTAAAAATAAAACAGTGTAGAGTCGAGACACTGTGATTGGGGCAATCTTAGCTCCGCATTAAAAAATGGATGGTTGGATAAGGGGGAGGATAGAACATAGAAAGCTTTCCCTACAAATTGTGATCACTCTCTTGGTATGTTTTATGATTAGACATGGAATCATGTTAAGGCTATTTAGAAGTGAGCGTGTGCATGGATGCGTGCGTTCATGTGTGTGCGTGTGTGTCTGTGTGAGTGTATAAAATTAATAAGTTGTTCATGATCAAGAAAACACCAACATATATCCATGGTAATATTACCTAGTATCATGAACTAATAGTTGACACGTTCTGTATAAATTTTCTTTTTACTTTTTAATATTGAAACTTCATATTGTCTGAAGGCATGTAATGTGTGTGTGTGTGTGAGAGAGAGAGAGAGAGAGAGAGAGAGAGAGAGAGAGAGAGAGAGAGAGAGAGTAAGTAGTAGTAGTAGTACGTACGTACGTAACTAAACTAACTAACTAACTATAGTAGTAACGTACGTACGTACGTACTACGTACTAGTAACTACGTATAC